AATAAATACCACATGAAAAAAGGACAGAGAATGAGAGGGGAGCTATTTTCAGGTGGGTGGTCAAAGGTACTCCATAGGGTAGTCAGGGTGGCCATTTCTAAAGAAAAAAAACTTGAAGCAGATGAAAGCTTGAAGGAGGTCAGAATGTGAGCCACGCAAATATCTAAAGGCAGACAGACTGCAGAAGGAAAGAAGGCAAGGCCCTAGACACAGCATGGACTGGCATGCTCCACATCAGCAGGACCACCAGCGAGGGTTAGCGGATGACATCTGATAATCCCCTGTACCCGACAAGTCACAGTACACAAATAGATACACACTTCCTGAAAAAGGCAGTGAAAGCAATTAATTACGAAAATCTCATCTTTATCAATCTATACCTTACGAAAAAAACTAAAAATGTTTTCTTAGATTAAATTATAATTGACAAATCTATAAATCAGGGCCAGGCTAAAAATTAAACAGTCCTCAATGAGTTCACAGGTTCATAAGAAAGACCACAGAAATGGATCCCAGAGAAAAGAGGCCGTATTTTGGGTCTGAGGCCAATAGAAAAACGCTTACCCTGAGCAGACCTGCCCAGAGTGGTGGCACTAGTGAGAAGGGGTGGAGCCTGTGCTTGACACTGACGTCATCATGTACAGCTAACAGCCACAGATTTGCTGAAAAATGACAGTAACAAAAACAGATACAAAGACAAGGGGAAAAAAATCTAATTTGAGTCCTCAAAATAACTTCCATTTATTAACAAAACGGCATCACAAGTAGCCCCGAAAATACAAGGATGGGTCTATACAGCATCACTGCTTCTGCGGCTACGGCCCCGCCCGACTCCACCACTCGGTTGGTTCCCACAAGTCTCATTCAGCCCTTATAGTAACACCACGAGAACCCAGACAGTGTCACATTCCAAGCGCTGGGCTTTTACCTCTGGCTTACCTACCCACATTCTTTCTGTTAGAACACTCCATATTAGTGTCTTGAGGAAAACACCTTTATCTTTATTACTTTCCTGTTTACTTCACTGAGACACAGGGAAGGTATAAAAATCAAAGGCAAGGTTCTGCTTTTGACAGATTTATTTAAATTCTAGTGGGATCGATCCAAAATACACTGAAAAATGTCAAGTCCATGCAGAACTTAATCTTTATTTTAAATATATAAATGCTGAGAGCTATGGAGTTAAGGAAGGATTCCTGAAAGATGAACAATTTTAATGAAGATTAGTACCTCCGTGAATTAATATTTTATCAAGAAATCCAAAGTGTCTGAGAAACAGTAGCCAATAACTACTTAAAAGTCAATCTTCATTACAAATGAACTCCTACAAAGATCACTGTAATGAACTTCCGGGAGTTTATTTCAACTACTGCCACTGACCCTATTCTCTTTATAATGAGGTATCATTTACATTTTAGTTTACAGATCTCTAAATAAATATATAGCATACATATACATATGTATGGTAACCCCTTTGCTCTCAATATTAACAGAATGATTTTAAACGTCTCATAAGAAACATGTACGCTAGTTTTGAATTACCCTCAGTGGCCATTAAAATTAGTTTCATCTTGTTATTCACCTGCTAATGCAGCACAGGATGAATTACCAATGTGAAATGTGAAACGTTTATAGCACTTCTGATGATGCTCAGGTGTGAGAGCATTCCTGGTTTGCATATATTCCTATTTCCTCTCAAATTATACATTGATCCATAATACTGCACTACAGTTAGAGGAAATGAAACATTCAAAGAGTAGTTTGGTTTCACATGGAAACAGTTACCAAGACAAACCTTCTTGTAGGATGGAGTTCCAAGAACATTAAATCATCAGAAATTGTTTCAGCAGCTGGTTAAAGCTCAGTGTACATAATAGGAGACAACTGGCTAGCTGTGCATTTTCAGTTAATTTAAAAGGTATAAACACATTAAAACACTGAAATGTTTGATATATTACAACACAATCGGCTTGTTCCTCAAGGGTGTTTAAATGGCTGCTGTATTCATTGTGTTTGGAGCCAATTTACTATCTAAAGGTATTTACTGTTTCCATCCCCCTGAATGTCACCAAAACATTTTATCAATAAAGGCAACAACAACAAAAGAGTGTACGCATTTAGGATATGTACTAAATTCCTGGTATTTTGTTATAAAAAAAAAATATTTAGGGTCAAGCGTGGTGGCTCACACCTATAATCCCAGCACTTTGGGAGGCCGAGGCAGGCAGATCACATGAGGTCAGGAGTTTGAGACCAGCCTGGCCAACATGGTGAAACCCCATCTCTACTAAAAATACAAAAATTAGCTGGGTGTGGTGGTGCTTGCCTGTAATCCCAGCTACTTGGGAGGCTGAGGCAGAACAATTGCTTCAACCCAGGGGGCAGAGGTTGCAGTGAGCTGAGATCGCGCCACTGCACTCTAGCCTGGGCAACAGAGTAAGACTCCATCTCAAAAAAAAAAAAAAGAAAAATTAGAGGTGGTGCTACTTGTAAAATTACATCAGGAACACATGAAGCACTCCACACACCATGACAAAGAAACAGCACACAGTATATGTGTTTCCCTTCCCTGCTCTGACCACATGTAAAAGAAACCTAACCACAGTGGCCTAAGCAAGATAGGTATCTATTTTTCTCATGTAAGAGGAAACCCAAAGATATGGGATCCAGGGCCCATGTAATAGTTTCATAATGTCACCAATATCTCATGCTCCCAGGACACTATTCTTTGCATGCAATGCTCATTAACATAGTTTCAAGACAGCCTAAGCATTGCCTCCACATTCCAGGAAGGAAGGGAGAGCAACAAGCAAAAGGCTGGAGTGGATATGCTCCGCAAGTTCATGATTTCTGCTCACATATACTTGACCCAAACTATGTCACATGGTCACATGGAACTACCAAAGTGTCTGAAAAACAAATCTGGGCACACAGCACCACTCTAAACAATACTGGAGTTCTGTTAGAATGGAATGGGAGAAAGGATGGCATGCATGTGTCTGCTGCAGGAGCCCCGGTTGAATGGGAAATTGTCCCATTTCCTTCCCTAGGCGATGACTCTTCAGTTGTCTCAGCCTAATTTCCCAGGTGCATACCATGAGACCATATCATGACGGGGGTTGGTGGTTCTCACTTCGAAGACTATATTAAAATTCTAGATGTTGCATTCATGTACAACAGCAGCTTGCAGCCTATTTTTTCACAAATATCTGTCTTTCCTTTTGGTGCCATAGATAAATAGCACATTTCCAATTATATCCCCATGTAGACTGAGATTCTGTCATGAAAAACAGTAAAATCTACTTTTTTATTTCAAAAATAATTCCTTTTATATATGCATTTTCAACAGGAGATGTAAACTCTTTCTACAGAGGTAAGCAAAAATCTTCATAGATACAATAGTAATGGTTTGTGGTCCTCTAAAGGGCTGTAGGACATAAACAGACATTCAGTGTGTCTGGGGACTCAAATTTCATTAAGTGGGAGAGGCAATTATGAAAGAAATGTCAAACAAGGCTTCTCAGGTAGAAAATATTTTTAAAATTTATTTTTATTTTTATTTTTTATTTTATTTTTTTTTTGTGACATAGTCTCGCTCTGTAGCCCATGCAGGAGTGCAGTGGCGCAATCTCAACTCACCGCAACCTCCACCTCCCCGACCTTGGTTCAAGCGATTCTCCTGCATCAGCCTCCCTATAGCTGGGATTACAGGCATGCACCACCATGCCCAGCTAATTTTTGTATTTTTAGTAGAGACAGGGTTTCACCATGTTGGCCAGGCTGGTCTTGAAGTCCTGACCTCATGATCCGCCCACCTCGGCCTCTCAAAGTGCTGGGATTACAGGTGTGAGTCACTGCGCCCGGTCTAATTTTGTTTTTTTTAAAGTAAAGACAGGGTCTCACTATATTGCCCAGGCTGATCTCCAACTCCTGCATCCAAGCAATACACTTGCCTCAGGCTCCCAAAGTGCTGGGATTATAGGCGTGAGACACTGCACCTGGCCAATAATTTTTTTTAAAGGTTGAGAATCACTGCTTTAAAAGTAACAAATGAGGCCAGGCACGATGGCTAATACCTGTAATCCAGGCACTTTGGGAGGCTGAGGTTAGAGGATCACTTGAGGCTGGGAGTTCGACACTATCCTGGCCAACACAGTGAGGCCCTGTCTCTATTTTAAATTTTAAAAAGTAACAAACGAGATGAACATTTTGAATCATATAGGAATTGCGTTGAGCTGCAGTGACAGAAGCCCAGTTACAGCAGTGTTAACTAATAAGGGTCTACTTCTGTCACATGAGAAGTCCAGGATGAAAAAAGGTGGTGCTGGTAGTTGTTGACTTTGGTTTAGCAGCTCAATGACATCAAAACAGAATTTTCTGTGAGTCTCTTGGTTCATGGTGCCAAGAAGGCTGTGCAACTCAAAAGACTGTCCACATTCCAGACAGCAGGAGAAAGGGCTGTCAAGAGAAAAAAGATATGCCTCCTAGCTGACTCAAGCAGTTCCTTTTAGAGAGCTTTACTCAGAGGTCTCATTGGAGGACCTTCCTCTACATCTCACTGACTATGCCTAGCATCAAAGGCGGCTGGAAATGAAAATCTGGCTTCACCAAAAGAGGCTGGAAACACAATCAAGAAGTCAGGAAGATAAGGAGAACTCAACTCACTGTGTCTACCATAATATGAAGTAGATTCAAATTGCTTCTCTCTTAAAATGTTGTTTCCAAAGATCTATAAGCTCTCTTAATACAGAGATTAATTCCGTGCCTACCATATTCTTAAGATAGTTTCACTATTTCCCCCTTAATGACGTAACATTTTTGTTTTGACGATGAATAGCCAGTCTAAATATTAGGCAGAAAGAAAAGAACTCTGGATATAGAATCCTTAAAAGGCACACATATAAGTACTACACCAGGACCCACAAACTCCGCAACATGATCAATGATGATCTGCCACATACAAAGAAGATAAAACAAATCCTGGCCTAGTCGGAACTTACAAGAGTGGAATATCAGTGATTAACTGCATCAAACAGCACAGCAATTCTTCCAAAAGATCTTCTGAGTCAGAACCTGGTAAGACACATAAAAAGATTTTTTTTTTTAACAAAGTACACAGTAGAATACAGTTGTTTAGAAGTTACATTTTCATTCCTAATGAGAATATGAACAGTTATCATTATATAAACTCAGTCATTAATGTTCACCTCTGATTAAAATCCAAACTATGAACAGGTTAGCATCTATCATAATCTTAATCTAGTATAGGACCTTTCAACACCTCTATAGTAATATAGCTTTTAAAGCTTGAAGGTACTTAATGCTCCTGTATGCCAGTAGTTGTCAGATTTTTTGTACTGCACTGTGTTTCTTTCAATGAAATCTTACATTAAAGCCAAATATATGAAACAGATAAAAATCAAGCTGCTCTAACTGCTTTGTTTGAAGCAGGGGTAGAGGACTTTTATCCCTCCCTCCCCAACAAATATCTGGCTTTACCCTTGATTTCTTGATGGGTTCTCAAGGTACCTTTTATGAACCTCTGGAGCTCCACAGATCGTAGACCGAACCCCATTAAAGAGGCCAACCTCCTCTTTACAGACAATGAGTCAAAGGTAAAAGGGCTTTCTGAAGTCAAAGAATAAATAAGTGGCAAAGGCAGAATGCAAATTACCATTCCAATGGAAATGTTCCCCTATCCCAAACTACTGCAAGTAACTGACCTCCAAATTCCCAAAGTCAGTCAGTATCTTATGTGACTTCTGCTCTTGGACATTACTGACACCTCCTCCTTCAGGAAATTCCTTCTTTTCTCAGTTCCTATAATACCTTATTTTTAACAAACTTCTTTTTCTATTTCTTCCCAGTGTCTGCTTCCTCAAAATACCTTTCAACTATTGGCATGTTCCCCAGAGTTCCACTATTGTCGTGCTTTTTTGTTCATTATCTCATCACCACAGTTCAGCTAAACAAGTTTACTAAATTAAAACTCACTCCTGGGCCAGATGTGATGGCTCACACCTATAATCCCAGCACTTCGTGAGGCCAAGGCAGGCAGATCACCTGAGGTCAGGAGTTCGAGACCAGCCTGGCCAACATAGTGAAACCTCACCTCTACTAAAAATATAAAAATTAGTCCAGCATGGTGGCGCACGCCTGTGGTCCCAGCTACTCAGGAGGCTGAGGCAGGAGAATTGCTTGAACCCAGGAGGAAGAGGTTGCAGTGAACTGAGGTCGCGCCACAGCACTCCAGCCTAGGCAACAAAGCGAGACTGTGTCTCAAAAAAAAAAAAAAGAAAGAAAGAAAACTGACTCCTGGACTCCTTTAACCTTCATGACTAGTTAGTATTTAGTTCCAATTTTACTCCTCTGCAATCCGAACTCCAGGTTACAATCAGAGAGAGCTAACTAAACTCTATCCTTTCACTCTCCTGGCTTAGGTCTTTTCAATTACTTTAAGCTGATTAATATATACCAAAAAAATTCCATGCTCCAAAGTACAGCATGCCAGATTCTTGGAGATATAGTTCCCTTATCACTTTGTACCTTTATCTCCCTCCAGTACTGCAGTGTATATTCCAGCAATGCCAAGCTATCTGCTACATGCCACTTCATACCTCAGTAACATTCCCTCTGCCTGGAATAGCCTCTAACAATAAAAATCTAATTTTTAAAAAGCCTATCTGTATCCATCTGAACCATCCTAAGTTTCATCTCCTCCATGAAACCCACTCCCTTGCCTCACCCTGAATAATCTATAAAGTATCTATGCCTCGTTCATGCCTCTTGCATTGCATATGTTGGTTACATTATGCCATCATTTTTTGTCTACGAGCAAGCAGGCCCCTACTGGACTCTATCCGAGCTTGCACATAATACGTATTCAATACAATTTGCTGAACTGAGCCCAGGTATCTCAGAAAAAATCCAGCAGGTAATTGCAAAGCATCAAAGCACTTGGAGTCTCAAAAAAAAGTTTAGCAACTTCTTTTCTAGGCCACAATATCACCTAGCATTCAGAAATTATAAAGAAATTTCATCCTGCTTTGCCACAAAAAGAACTGGCATAGTAACCCCATGAGAGGTAAGTACAAATCTTGAAAAGAATATTAAATCATGCTGAACACACCAATCAATGCTAAAAAGGACATACGGCAAGACTCAAGTTCAACAACCAAATTAAATCTCACTCCAAGAACCATCGGGCTTGGCTCTATTATTAGTGAAAAAAATAAAATAAGAGAGTAAGTCACACTTGTCTCTGGGACTGCATGGTTGGTTACCAGATCTAACTAAAATCCCTCTCATTGCCAAGGCTGCCCAACATAACTCAAGTTAACAACCTACTCTAACAAGTTGATTTGTTGGTATATAATATATACTCAATATATGTTTGCTAAACAGTCACTCCTTAACTCATTCTACAGGATGTAGTGTCCCAGGCCCAAGAAAGAACACTTAAAATCACTCAGTGATTCCCTAAGGAACATTTCAGACCAAATGCCAGTTTAATAACACCCCTGTTCAGCCAAGCAGCCAGCATAGTTTTTTAATTACGGAAGGTGAGAGACCAAGTATTCAGGAACCACAGATGGTGCCTGATTTGATTTTTTAACTTCCAGGGGTATAAAAACACCTAATTTTTACATATTAAAATGATGACAAGGATTCTCTATTCAACTCCATGTGCCACTCAAATCACGACCTCAGCCAAATTTACATTTGGGTCAATTAAGGAGTATATACACAGCTTTGTTATCAATCTAATAAAATAATGAAGATGATAAATATATTTCATACAAGTAAAATATAATATTTCAAGGCCAAAGCTCTAACAAAAGACAATAAGCAATATCCAGCTGAAATATCTTGACTTCCATTCCCAAAAAAAAAAAAATTCCTCAGAATTCTAAATTCTTGCTTCTCAGCTAATATAGAAGTAAATAATTGTATTTTAAGTGAAGAGTGACAAGATTTGACTGCTTACTAGGTTTGACATCAAGCAAGCCATTCATATTGCATTATTTCCTTTCCCAACTAGCACTTATATCACCTTAGCTTTCTTATAAGGCCAAATATCTTCCTTAGTTCCAAAAAATAAATATAAACTCACCTACAAAAAGTATAGTAACACATTCAAGCATTTCATGCAGTAAAGAGAATCTTAAAAATTCTTGAAATTTGCAGGTCAATGACAAAATAAACTGACGTTCTTTGAGCAAAGGTCTTTGCAAAGATTCAGTGTGTTTACTGTATTGTGAAGTTTTATAACTTATAGAGCCCATTTCTCTCCTAAGAGTTCTCTCTCAATGCTGGGCACAGTGGCACATGCTATAGTCCCAGCTACTCAGGAGGTTGAGGCGGGAGGATCTCTTGAGCCCAGGAGTTGGAGGCCAGCTTGGGCAACATAGCAAGACCCTGACTGTTAAAACAAACAAACAAACCAGAATTCTCCCTTAAAGAGTTTTAAATTACCACAATAGCTCCAGACAAATATTTTAGTATTTTAAGTCTTAGTTTCTGTAAGATCACATTAACAGCATTTACCGAGTACTCTACCCTTGGACAGGCATTGTGATGAGCACTTTATATTCAATGTCATGTTAACGTTAACCCTGACAATAACTCTTGATGAATAGTTAATGATTATGATAATCATTTTATAGATGAAGACATCAAGGCTCAGGTTAGTTTAATTAGAGTAAGGGGCAGAATCCAGATTTGAACTCAAATCTATACTCTCAAGGGAAAAAATTAAAAGGAAAATATCCTTTAAATTATTTTTAAAGATATGTTTCTATACAAAGTTGGGGGAAACTATTCAACCAATTCATGTTTCACTGAACACTGTAAATACAAAACCCCGAGTACTACAGGCCCAGTTAGGAGGGAGACATCTGAAGTACTACGTACTAGTTTATAAATCAGGATGACACACAATGTATTTATCAACACATACTAGAAGTTCTTGACTCCTTCAAAATCCAATGTACAAATAATCTAAAACAATGAATAAATATAAGCTATTATCATCCGTATTGTGCAGAACAAGGTCACTAAAATACCAGCCCTATCCCTGGAATGCTCTCATTCTAAAGCCCCACTGCTCTAGTCCCTATGAACTTCACCAAGGGAAGGAGTAGACAAGCGAGATGATATCTAGGGTCCTTTAAGGTTCTAATAATCTATACCCAAAATTAAGCGGCAGTCCCTGTTAGTTCATTCTATCCAGCATCCATTCAGCACCATGTGCTGAGATAGCACTCTCATTTTGTCCTTAGGGAGAGAAGCAGAGAACAGTACAATACTGTCCTAATCAAAGGCCTTCCATCACAGTAGGAGGGGAAGGGAAGACAGCAAAAAAATTGTTTTTCAAAAGCGCTCATTGATCATTAGAAAACAAAGCAACCAGAAAAATAAAACATAGGATTTAAATCAGAATATATATAGTCATTAAAAGAAATGTTAAAAGAGTTTTGTCTTTGTTTTCTTTGCATTCAGAAGGTTGAACTGCCAGTTTTTTAATGCTCCCCAAAATTACACTGCGCCAAATACAAGTACTAAAAACTTAATCGAATAGGGCTGTACTCCAAAAACAGGTTAACAGAGTACCTTAGAAGTTCAGAATAAAAGTGGCTTCCTTAAAATGGAAGACACATAATTAGATTATATTCATTAAAAACTTATATTCAGAAAATGAAAGACTCATGGTAGAGTCTAGGTTTTTGCCACTTTAATAGTGAAACTAACATTGAAGTTATCCTAAATTATTCTAAAATATTAGATTTAAACTTCTAATTAGCAACACCAAAATGTCTCTTGTAGGTTAATCATAAAGATGAAAGGCAAAAGGACTCTTTTAAAAAGAAAAGTGATCTGCGTTTCAGTGCACTACAATATTTATAAGCTTGTGTCCTATACCATTCAAATCAAATCGATAATAATTCTGGTTGACTGCTATTATTTTGGTCAAACAGAAATGTTTCTAATTACCCTAAAAGATAATATACTCTACCAGGTTTGACTATAAAATGTGCCTATTAGAAAAGTTTAATTGATTTTGTTCCACTAAT